TATTAACTGGAATTGAGCCTGGATTAGTCTTATCTGGGTGAAGGTAGATTTTGGGAAACAAGATGACGCAATTAAATGGGATCATTGAGGCCTAGTCATTTAATTGTGAGAAGATTCAACTACAAATCTTGATGAATACAAGCCAATATTTTTTGTTAATTTTGAAACCTTCTTAATCTAAATATAACTTGTTATTTTGTTTGAGAGGTTCCTAACAATGTAGATCCTACAGAATAAATATACCCACTAGCTAACACTGGATAATTGTTTTTAAAGATACTTTGTCATTTATACGTTCGAGTTAAGTCACACTTAGAATTTTAATGACAGCCTCTACAGATGTGACCAAGGCGTTGGTTACTAAGGCGTTCCACGTAAAAACTAGATGCTTTAACGAATGTGCTTTAAGAGTATGTAGAGGATAGGTCGGTTTGACTTTGTCATTCATCAATGGGTCGAATACAGATGCAAAGACTGGTTTTAGGTACCAGACCCTGCTAGCTTTGTTATACTAGTCGGATAGATCCCAAATATCGACGATAATAGTCACATTTTTATGCTTTCTTATAACATGATATATTTTCGAAAATCGTGCTCTTTTGCTATGCTATCGCTCATAAATTTTTAATATGTTAATACTTCTGGAGCGCTCCTAATTATCGCACCTTACTTCCAGCCTTAATATGCTCTATGTTTTTGCTTCTTAGGATTATTGACAGCATTCGTGGTGAATCTTTAAAGCGTCAGTGGATTATATTTGATGGTGATGTTGATCCAGAATGGGTAGAGAATCTTAACTCTGTCCTGGACGACAACAAGCTGCTAACTCTTCCAAACGGAGAACGGTTAGCGATCCCTCCGAACGTCCGAATCATGTTTGAAGTTCAAGATCTAAAATATGCAACTCTAGCAACTGTCTCCAGATGCGGCATGGTTTGGTTCAGTGAAGATGTTCTCACTCCCGATATGATAATGCAAAATTTCCTACGACAGCTTCAGCATGCACGTTTATTTTTTTTACTTTTTCACTTTTATATGCTGACATCATTTTTCGTTCATACTGCCCCTATCTTTTGGTAAACGCCATTATTTAATTAGACTTAAACAATATAACTGAGTAAGATTGCTTTAATGCTAGCATAGGTATGCATTTTTAAAATCATCTTCATGTATATAAACCGAATAGCTAAAAAGTTTTTTTCATCTTCCATTTTGTTTATTGTTTCCTGGAATTTAAAAATAAGGCCTTTTTAGCTTTTTTATTGGACTAAGTTTTTACCTGACGCATTGAATTATCTGTTGCAATATGCTTTAAGTAAAATGAATTATCTGTTTACTCTAAGCACTACTTTTTCTTTGTATATTTTATATCGTTTTCCTCATCATTTCGTATGTAATCTGGTTATTAAAATTTTTCACTTATATCTGTTTTTCAAGTGAGATATGATTTATGTCTCTCTTTATCTTTCTTAAAATTTCTTTCGCTATTTTCCAACTTTTCTAGCGAGTATTTAAGACTGTCACTTGAATCCATCGTTTCAACTTGATCCATTTATTTATTTTTCTTTTAATCTTACGAATTTTATCTCGATTCGGGTCCGGCTATAGCACGGTTATCTTAGATATGCGGACCAAGATGTTGTGATCTTGGGTTTATTCATAGCCTCATTTAGCTCTGTTGAGTTACAATGACCTTTTTTTCGCAACGTATGGTGAAAGAGAGACCTTTTGCACGTAATCAGCCGTGCGTTCTTTGCCATTGTAATAGTCACGACAACTTCCAGTATCAGAAACTTGTTCTGTTACATTTCCAGACGTTTCGCAGTTATCCTCAACTAGAGGATAACATTAGCACCAAGTGACCACTAGTCATTGACAAGAAGGCAATCCTCCAGACTGATTTTACGTTCAATGATTGTGACACCTCTCCTCTCCTTTGTGTTGTCTTAGGCTTCAGGCACTTCATTCTTGTCAATTCATCCTCACTTCAACTTCCTATTGCTAATTTTACCACATCCAAGCACTGATTAATGAAAAAATCCGTCTTTGCAACCGTAAAATTCTTATTGTATTCTTTTTCCAGCTAAATCTTTAAGCTCTACAGAAAATACTTTCCTGTATAACAGGCTTTTACTGTGGTTCTGTGATGACATCGAAGCACTGATCTAATTAATTTTAATTACCAAGTTTTGTTTGTTTTGTCTGCTTGAAGAAACAAATGCAAAGATAAGTGAACACGTATGGATGTTATATATATAAGCTTGGTGAGCTGTCTAATAGACGAATGCCCTTGTATTATGGCATCGGCTTGAAAATACGTCTTTCTTGCTTTCAAAACGACCCAGCAGATGTTTTATCAATTAAAATCTATTCTGCAACAATTATTTTACATCATTAGGTGTAATTTATAATTATTTGGACACTATATTTCTTTTTGCTAACCGGATAGCTTCTAATGTTTAGGTTATCACATTCATTTGCATGTAATTGCTCTTGTACTTTTACTATAGGATTATCAGAACGACTCAAATGTATTATATTATTGCTTTGCCTTTAATATTTTTCATTCAGATGACCATTGATGAAGCTGAGGAAGATATCAGTTTTACTTATGCACCATTGACCACTGCCAGTTCGCAGAATGATCTTCAGCCGCAAACCCCAAGTCCTAGCGAACCAGTTGAAACACTGCACCAACAACGTCAGTCTTTCAGCCCCTCGTTACAAGTACAACGGGATATAGCCGGCATTCTCGCTCCTTACTTTACTGATAATGGCCTCATTTCCAGGTGTCTCGAGTACGCTCGATCACTTGATCATGTAATGGACTTCACCCGATTGCGTGCACTGACTAGCCTCTTCGCTCTTCTGAAGCAAGGTGTCCGCAATGTTCTTGCCTATAATTTGTCTCACCTTGATTTCCCTTTGACGCCTGACCAGCTTGAGGCATATATATCTCGCTATCTTATTAGTTCAACAGTTTGGGCGCTGGCTGGTGACGGAAGACTGCGAATTCGTGAACAACTGTCTGACTTTATTCGCAGCATCACTACACTTCCTCTACCTCCACCAGGAAGCCCGATTATAGACTATGAAGTCAGTCTAACTGGAGACTGGATTCCTTGGATTCAGAAGGTTCCCGCTATCGAAGTAGAGACACACAAGATCACTTTAATGGACGCAGTTGTGCCAACTCTGGATACTGTTCGTCACGAATCTTTGCTCTATACTTGGCTTGCAGAGCACAGACCAATGTTGTTATGCGGACCGCCTGGCTCTGGCAAGACTATGACATTGTTCAGGTTTGCCTTATCTAGCTAATTTATTTTTGCCCATTACTTTGCACATTTCATTTTATTTGAAGAGGCGACTGGGAGGGATTCGTGAATTCATCTCACCTGATACCGAAATTGTAGTGACTCGATTTATTCGACGTTTTCGGCACATCGTTCTACAACTGATGAACTCCTGTTGATTATTAGTTTATCATGTGATGGTCCAGCATTTGCTAAGATCCACAAAAACCACCCAGAAAGGTGGCTTACTGAAATCATATATATACTCGTTTTTGTAATCTCAAATAGGCATCCCATATTTTATTTGGCTTAAACATGCTTGTCCCAGATGCTTATTGGCAAGTAAAGTTGATTTTCAAGTATTTGACAACTATTCCTGATGAATTATGATTCTTTACTAAATTTTATATAGTATTTCTAACTTGATTCTTAGGATTTACATCTCTTAGACCTCTTATTGTTGATTTCATAAATTCTTCCATTGTCCTTCAGAAGAGGTCATGAAGAAAACTAATGCATTTCCTATAGGCATCACTATCGAATTTGTCTCCAGACTATTTTGGGTATAATGATCCGGTGAGATTTCAGCTGACCATCCTTCTTGGTTTAGTATCTTATGGGATTTCTTAAGTGATCTCTGTCGCGTGATAGACGAAATTTCAGTTCATCTGAGTCACTTTATCTCACTCCTCGATTTACAGTGAGACCAATTTACGAAACCCTGTCTCCCACTTATTACACGAACTGAAGGGGACAACAAAATGGTTAATCTTCACAGCTACGGTGTGACACCAATGTCTTATACTTATATGCCCTTTTTCTTTCAAGGGCAATTCGTAACTAACGATTTTGATACTCAGGTTCGTCTTTAGGCATACAGCATTTGTGCTTCCGCGAAAGCAATTTTCAGACCTTAGAGTTTTGACATCTGAAACTTTACTTTCCTATTTGTATTTTAAATCATCTATAATATCAAATCGTGTGTCTTTAGTCTATCCTTGCGTAGTCTTGTTGGCTCCATTAATTTAATAATTAACTGGTCTGATCCTAAAAGGAAATCTTGTAGTCTACCACTTTTAACTGTGTCCGTGCCTCAAACACGTTAATTTAGAAACAAACACTTAGGCTTAGCTTTACTTTCACACAACTAGCTTTCTGAAGTGAATCTTTTAAGAAGTGGCTTGATATTGTTTACTCAACTTGGCACGAACCTCTCAGAAGAGAAGGCAATCACGGCCCTGCTGGAGATCTTATAACCTAAAGAAAATATCCTGAAAGTTAAACGGATATGAAATGAGTCTTTAACACGACTGACTTACTTGACAACAATGACCACATACTTCAGAGCAACGACAATATCTATAAGCAAATATTTTGACTACCTATGAGTTCTAAACTCTTATCTCTTTTTGAAAGTGTATAGATGAAAAAAATAAAAAAGGAATTTGCGAAGTTACCGCTGCAAACAATAGTGCCTATGCGATACCCGAATGTCTTTATATACCATTTGGATAAGGAAATTAGATTCACATTTAAGATGAGGGGACTGAGATCATTTGCTCCAACTCAGTAGGAGACTAATAAAAAATTAATCACACATGAAATTAGACCTCGATTTCCAATTTTATCACATTTTTACACTAAAGATAGGAACAATGAGGAGTTTACTTATAAGAAGTTAAGGTTGAAGAAGATGGAGTTCTGTAAAGAAGAGTTGGATTGTCTCGGTTTTTATTTAGTAGCGAATACCTTAAAAAAGCCATGAATCAATAGTAAAGCAATAGCAAATTTAATAAAAGGGACGACCGAAAGTGGATATGTCCGACGTCCTGGTAACTGGGTCAATATTCAGATTATCACGAAACAATACATTTTACTACTTTTCGTTCTATAGGTAGGTTTTCGATATAACCAATAGATCTTATATAAGGGCTTTATTCACCTTATTTCTTTTGAGCTGATAAGCACTGATAGTTCAATTTACCTACAATCATATGAATAGGCCCGTGGGTCCCATTGGATTTCAAATAGCCTTGTTTCTCAAAAGTAATTTTCATCCATGACAGATTGCAGTTTTAACCTCGCCTATGTCTGATCAGCATCTCTGGCGGAACTCGAACTCTTACGGTGTAGCATATAATCCCGATGAGACTCTTTTGGAAGCAAGGAAATGTGAACTCCGGAGTAAACATGGCACCGTACTCAAACTTAAACTACCTGTCCATCATCACCTTTAACAAAATAGTTTGAACATAGCTCTTATAATACTTTACTAGCTTGCCGATGCCTCACTAGAAATATCAAAAACTAGATTGCTCGTAAGTATATTGCAGTATATTAATGAAACAGGAATAAAAAGCAAGGAA